GTGTTAACGCTTCCCGCAACACTTGATGCTCCACTTGTGGACGCTGAAGCTCCAGGAACTATAGCTGGGACAGTAGCTGGGACAGTTGCTCCAATCTGATTAAGATTGAGCTTCTTCCCATAATCAATATATTGATCCTGATTCTTCCATTGAGTCTTTGGTAGCAGTCTGTCTGGGCATTTTGGAGACATATTGTCTTCGTTGCCACATACATAACATGCTGCCTTCTTTCCATCCTTCGGTTTCCCCTTTCCTTTTCCTTTGCCTTTACCTTTATTAGGTTGGTCTTTTTCTTGGTAGAGGTTCACTCCCGGAATTTTACTCACTTCCATGTGAATTTTCAACATATCCTGCGCTTTGCTGACCGTCTTTGGATAATAATCCACTTCTCTGCAATAGTTTGTCTGAAGATCCAGCATCAGAGGAGATGTTCTCGTTCGATCGCTGTTGCATAGAAATCCTGTTGCCAGAACGGCTTCAAAGATATCATCCTTGAACTTGTTTTGAGCAGCAGTATTGGTGCTAGCAATAGCAGTATACGCTTTCGTCTTGACTGCAAAATCTCCGAACCAGGCCACGCCATATAGATCTTGAAGGACTTCGGCCTGTCTCAAGAATCGTTCCTTGAAATGCATCAAGTTTTCCGTTGTTCCTTGCTTCATAGCAAAGAACTTTTGATTCGCTTCCCAGAAATCCAAGAAGTCATACTCAGCATCAGCACTCTTCTTCACGAATCGTTCAATACGTTTCAAGATTCGATCGCATCTTCAAGAGTAGTCGTGAAATCGGCTTCACCTCGAAGCTTGATATCCATCGCCTTTGTCACAAACTGCAACATGATGTTTGATTTGACGGTTCTCTTGTTTGTCTCGAAGTATGCTGATCTTTGCATGTTCTCGTTGAGCTTTGCAGAATATAGAATCTTGTTTTGGGCAATTTCTGTTTCTCTTGCAACAGCTTCAGTTTGAGTTGGAGCGTTCAATCTTGGAGCGATCGCATTGAAGTCGATCGATGATTTCACCATGTCTTCTGAACATTTCATTCCAGAAGCTTGGATGTAGTCAATCACTCTTTCTTTGGCATCTTCGTACGACCATCTTGCCTTTCCATCGTTTTCATCTTTCGTTGAAAATAGATGTTTCTGTTCTTGACGTAAATTTGTTTTGTTGCCTTTTGTGATTGAATGATAGAATAAAGCAAAATGTGCTCTATCGTGAGTGCCTTTAGCGCTCAGAACAAACTCTCTGCAATCTAAATTTGTAATCGACTGTACAACACTTTCACGACAATAGTTCTCCTGCGTCTAGGTATACTTTGAGTGAAATTGTTCCTATTTGATTAATGTTTGGCTTGAATTGATAATTCAATCACAAAAGTAAGTTCAACAATTTTCCCTTGGAAAATCCCTTGTTTACAGAACTTGATTTGACCTCTACGACGATTCTGTGTTGGATACAGTACTTTGGGACATATTGAATTATTCCCTACTGCATTGTACACAATATTGACATCTCACTTGTATAGGGTCATTCCCTTTTTGTGTGGATGTAGTTTGTCCGACAGACTTGCGTCCGGCATACTTGCGGCAAATCCCGACATCACGATCAAAGTACGATCGTACGTGTCGAAAACTTCGTACTTGAATAGTTTCCTTTCGGAACGTAAAAACTCATATTTCGTCATATCCCAACATCAATGACGTTGGTTTCGTCGACAAAGCAGAAGCATTGGGCTGTGACCAACTGTGACTCCAATGCTGAGAGGCACTCAAAGCCGTAACCCATCGCTTCCATCATGGTAATGAGGACGGAGCTCACAGAGATCCATATAGGGGGTCCAGCCCCATTACCCTGACCACAGCCTTGGAAGGGGATAACAGAAGGCGGCTTGAAAGTACGTTCTGAATCGCCAAAGCCTGTCCGCACCCGATGCGTCGCTGATGACA